AATATAATTACAAATAAATAAAACAATAATATATTAATTGGCATTATCAAAGATTTAAAACTTATTGATTTTAATAAATAATATTATTATGGGCTAAAATGAGTTCCCATTTTTCAAGATTAACACATACAATTATAAATAAACAGTGATGTACGAGTATAATTAGAGTTCTAGTTTGTGAAGGTTTAGAAGTTTGAAGTAAATATGAAAATTTACAATACCTACCTAAAAATTATTTACAACCAAATAAATTAATGGAATACATGGAGTAACTATAATAAAGTATGTAATAAAGAAACTCAAGATGCAAACAGAAAATATTTAAATTGGAAAGCTTATTATTTAAAATGGACAATAATAAAAAAATTTAATGCTAAATAAATAAAATGTTTTAAAATCAAAAAAAAAAAATATTACTGTTAATACTCCTATGTATAAATGTTTACTTAAGTCTTATTTATTATTGAAAAACTAAAAAATATAATCTATAATCGGTAGACTTCAATTATTCAAGTGTGATGATTATTGTTTAATATACAAATCTTAATAAAAATAATAATATATTGTGTACGAAAAATCCTAAATCATAAGTTTAAATCAAAAATTTTTGGAATGCCAAAAAGTTATTTTTCAATAATYGTTTGTTTGAAAGGAACAGTAACAAAAAAGTAACACTATAGAATTAAAATGCATTTTGTCAGTCCAATGTATTGTCATTTAGACATTACATCTCTTTGGACCGACTACAGTGTTTGGTCATTGCATACTACCATATTTTTGATTTTGGGGTGTAGCCAAATTACCAATTTGTTCTTCACTGCCATCATACTCTGAATAGTCTTGTGTACGGTTAATAGCTTGGGTTATAGCATCACGCAAACGTTCTCTAAATGTTTTATATTCCATGTCGGAGTTATTGGCAAAATCAAAATCTGCTACTTCTACCATATACCTATAAAAAGTTATRAAGGTATTTCATTATAATTTAATGATTATTATGAAAGATAAATTCTTTTATGACTATAGGAAAAATTTTAATTCCCARACAACATGTACAACACAAACAATTTAGTATCAATAAATTATAAACAATACTCATGACATATAATCTTAAATCATTTTTGAACTAAATAATATTATTGTTCATTAACTGTTGTTAATTAAGATATTATATTTGTATAGCTTTACTTAAAAATATTTAAAAGAAACTTTTGTAAAAGCAKTTAAAAGAATAATCTACATCTACATGGTTAATAATAATATTGGTGTCCAATAAAAAAATTATTACATGAGCAATGTCAAATAAATATTTTCAGTTGGGTGAGAGCAGTTAACACATAAATTTGTATGTTTGAATAGTTAATAGTACCTCGATCGTGGGGGGTGTAGTAGCCGGGCGGATTAAAACATCAGCTGCGACGCGTACCATAAAACACTCACGTGTTCCCTCCACCACCGTTAAAAAAACTACAGTACCACAACCCCCCCCCCAATGGCTTATGTTGCCCCACGTTAACAAATAAAAAAAAAAGTACCTTGATCTATTTTGAAAGTAATAAGCTATTCCAAACACAACAATAATTACTGCAATTGAACTGAAAGTTACTGGTACAACAATGACAGATATTTGCGGCTGCTTTTGTACTGAAAATATAAAAAAATTACAATAATATAATTAAAAAACAAAAATGTAATGTAATAATTCATAGAAATAATGATTACCTTTATAAATATTAATTCCAATAGGTGTTACARTTTTTGAAACATCATTAGCCACAATCACAATTAGTGTATAATTGGTAGGTTCACGAAAATAGTGAACAAATTGCATTTGACATTGTACTAAATTTCTATCCCATAAACAAGATTCATTACCAGTTACATTATAAGGTCCTTCAACATAATGTGCACAATAACGGAAAGGGCCACTGCCATTACAGTTTACCTAGTGATTGATTAACGTTTCATTTAATAAATATTACCATTTAATATCTATAATATGATWTTTTGATTACCAGAAGATTTAACATTTCGCCTTCTTGTATCCACACTTTTCCTTGAGTTTTAACATTTGCTATTGGATCTAAATAAATGAAAGGTTTTATAATTTTAAGATTTCATATAAACTCRAAAATTGATCACAAATTTATAATTAATTAACTCAAAATCCATACTAATATTTACCTTTGGTAAGCAGAGAACGACTAAAATATCCATATTTTTGTTGGTTTTCTAATTTAACTGCAGACAACAACAAATCAACATGTTTTTTTTGTTGACATTCAGTAGTAAATGTCGAATTGATTACATGATGAGATAATGTAACATCAGTTTTAGAAGATGCTTCAGTAGTGGGAGGTGTAGATATAGTAGTAGCAATAGTCGTATTAATATTGGTAGAATTAATTTGACTGACTGTAAATTCTGTTGTAGGTGGAGGTGAAGTTGGAGGTGTAGGTATAGATGAGGGAATATTGGCTACAACAATGCCAAGAATTTCATGCTGAATGCCTGGTTCAGTATAGTTACTAGAAAATGTATAACTTGTAGTATTTTCTTGATAGATACAATCAACAAACCAGTAAACAGAAGTTGAATTGGCACTTTTATTAAGATATTCTAAATCGGCAGCATTGATTTCAATTTGGTGAACAGTTTCTAAATTAGTAGATACATAAATAGTCTGTGGAGAATTTTTTGAAATGTTTGTATTATTTTGAAATAGCTGAAGTACACCATTCAAATTTTCTGGAATATAAAATGATTAAAATTTATAATTTTTATATYAATCATTCTTTAAAGTATTACATACATATCATATATTTGTTCTAATATTRATTCTTAAAGTTTATATTCAGAAAAATTATTGAATTATATGATTAAGATATAAAACTATATTACCTGTAACAATTAACTCGCCACGACCACTGGTAATTGGATGGTAGATAAAAGGAATTAATTCTTGTGAAACATCTACTTTATATCT